TTTTGAAGTCACAGCTGAAAATCGAACAGAAGATGCTAGAACGAATCGAACAGTATATTTTGCATTGGATATGATAGAATTATATGATTATAATTGTTCATGTGAGTAGAGTGAAGAAAATATATAATGCAAGTAAAACGTTATTACTTGTTGGAATTGTTTAGATGTTCGTGATGAACTAGAAGTAACAACAACAGCAGCGCCAATATCAACAATAACAACACCACTAGTACCAATAACATCATCAACAACAACAACATCACCAGTACCAACAACAACAACTACAGATCCAGAAACTGCGCCTTCAGGTAAAGATGAGTAATTAATAATTTGATTGAATATTAAATTGTTTTTGCGTTTCATAGAAGCTAAGTCAGATTTGCCATTAATTCTTGGTCTGTCTTTGGGCATCGGTATTCCTGTATTACTTGGGATCATTGTTGGCGCCATTTGTTATTGCAAATCACGTCCATCTGTAAACGCCGTTGAACCCGTTGGTGATACTGACACTTCAGATTCTACTGACATTGCTATGCGGTCGATTAATACGAAAAATGAGAACAGTACTGTGTCAGCTATAGTACAAAATGTAGTTTGATTTAACTTTACATTTTTGATTTTTTTTTATACATAAGATTATGTAATAAATGTGTAAGCACGAAAATAATTGTTTTAAAAAGTATTTATATTTCGTTTATAATAATTGTTTATGCTGAAAAGAACAGATGGAACACGTCATGTACATTTCTCAGAAGATATATGATGTTTGAAAAAATGGTATTGCTCTGTATAGTAATTATTTGATTGAAAGATTTTGAGACATTACATATAAATCAAATTTGTATGTTTGCTAAGTATTTATTTATATGTGAATTAAAAGTAAAAGACTCATTATTCTATACATATATACAAACTGAATGACGCAAGACTTAATACTGCAAATCTCGTTATATGTAATAAATAATGTTTTTTTTATAAATAAATTGGATGAAAATTTCAGATATTTACTAACAACTAATTTATCTAGAATTGGTTATCTTTCATTTCAGAAGATAAGTTTTATACAAATAAATATTGTTTTTTATTTATGCAGTTGTGATTTGATTTAAATACAAACTCAGCTAAAATAAATTTATTATTCATTTCGTAAATGATATTATTTGCATTACAATTATCTTTCACCATCCATACAACATAAAAAAAGAAAGAAGGAAACAATGTCCTGCTTTTCGGCTACTTTGTAGTATGGGGCGCTGCCCAGAGATAATTTTGAAAGCCGGATATTTTCTCTACAACTATTACTTGCTGCAGCTCTGGACAGAAAGCCGATCTGACTCAAAGTTCTTCCGCTTAATTACTTAAGCTTTCTGTATATTGACTAGCCACATACCAGCCACAAAAGATTTTAACATATGGCAATCACGCAGTCAGTATGCTTTCGGATGTGTAATTTGAAGACATAGCCATTAATGACTTGTCCATACAACATAGTCTTGTCGTCTTTGTCGTCGTTCTCGTATATTATTATAATAATATCCATCTTTCCATTGTTTGATGAATCGTAATGTTTTTCTTCGTTCTATTATTAAACAAATAAGGGATAGTATACCACATATTAGTACCACTACACCCAAAATAACATGTCCCCAAATAACAATTTCTTTGGTGGTTAAATGAGCAAGAATAAGTGCAAGTCGACCAAGAAATTCTAACATAAATCCTATTGACCAAATAATTGTCAATATATAACATGAACAACGAAATGATCGACAATTTGTATACATCCAATCATAAACTTGTGTAACTTCTTTTCTGTCAGCTTTTCGTTTTGCTTTCCGTTCTGCTCTCCGTTCTGAAATACCATCTACATATTGTCCATCCATTGATTTTGATCGATCATCAAATATATCATCAGGTAAACCAACATCCTTTCGTTTTGTTGGTAATAAATCTTTGTAAAAATAGTAAGCAATTGGTCGCCAAACACATCGATGTGGACAACAGCGACATGGCAAATATCCACATGGCCAACATGAACATGGAAATAATGTAATAGCGCATACAACAGAAACAACACCAGTCACAAGAGATTTTTCAAGTAGAAGTATAGTAGCATCATTTGTAACAAGAGCAACAACACCCGAAACAACAAA